CCCCAAAACCCCAAAACCCCAAAACCCCATAGAGAGCACATTTGACTAAATTTGAGTTAGATTTTATTGGTTAGATGAAAGATATTTGCTAAACTAAAATTAAAATTTATAATTATTTATTAGGAACTTCTCCTATTCCTTTTCTTACAACTAATCTACACATACTCATGAGCAGTAAGTCAAACTCACCCTAGGGACAACATCAGTCGGCCATTGGAACTCATCAAACCACTGACAACACTAAGCCAAGAGGGCCTTCACAGAGTCAACATCAAAATAAGTTTGATGGAAGCAGACAAGGATTCAGCAGAAATGGTGCTAATGGAGACAACTATGCAGCAGAGAGAGGTACTAACCCTAGAGGCATGAGAGGAGGAGCAATGATGAATTCTTAGAGAGATTTCAGCAACTCTAGAATTTTCAGAGGGGGAAGAGACCATCAAATGTACCCAAACTCAAGAAGAGGAGGCTATGGAACTGGAATCAGACATGAAAACTCTCAAAGAGAATAGAACTACAGAGGATAGAGATTTGATAATGGATTTATAGGATCCTCTAGAGAGAGACTTTTTCACCAGAGACCTTAGAGAATGGGAATCAGAGAACCAAAAAGAAGTGTCGAGGCATCTAAGAGGAACCAATTTGCAGATGAAGCCTCTAACATTATTCAGCTGAGACAAGAGAGAGGAGTCAAGTTTTACATTAGACTTGTCAAGAGTTTAATGAAGCACAAGGGATTTGATACAGTTGAGCTTCATGGCACAGGGGATGCTTACATCTTTGATGCTGTCAAAATCACTGAGGTATGTTCTATAAAATGCTAATTCAAATGTTTATTAGGTGCTGTTGAGGTACAGCTATGTCACAATCTCGAGGATGAAAACCAAGACTATATTCTAGGGAGATCGTAGAGCTGCCAAAATCGTTATCTAACTAACCAAGAGTGCTGATTTTGAGGAGCTTTACGATAAGTTCTAGGAGATAGTCAGCCAGAAGATTGAGAATGACATAAAGCAGGGCAAGAGAACTGCTAGAGGCCCTGAAAGAGGAAGGAAGGAGTAGACTAAGAAGGTGACAAGTGAGAAAGAGGGTGAGAAGGCTCCAGAAGCTGAAGGCCACAAGGATGAAGAAGAAGCACCAGACTAACCAACTGTTCACAATGATGAAAATGTAGCTGAGGATCCCAAATCTGAGACTGTCATTCACACTACACCAGATGATATCAAGCCCAATGCAACCACTAAGGATCAACAAGAGCAAAAGCTGAAAGAAGGGGTGGAGACTGATCAAGAGAAGAAAGCTCAGGTTGAAACTAAGAGCGAATGATTCTTCTTTGGAGAGTTGCTCTTTTTAATCTGAGATACTCCTCCTGCCTCCAACAGCATCATCATCATCATAATCATCTAATCATTTTAAATTTAATTTTTAATATATAAAATATCACTTTTTGCTATTAAAGATCATTAAGTTCTATCTTATATTAATTCAACGATATTGTTTGTTTCCTTCCTGCTATCCTCCTTCATTGAAATTTCTATTGAACATAGGTGTTGAAAGCACTGATACTTTATCAAGATTTTTTTCAATAATCCATTTGTAGCTTTCTGGTGGAGTCTGAATTCCATCCAATATGTCATCTTCTTCAAGCTCATCCAATTCGATGAATACATCCTTATTTTAACTTCTCAAATGAAAATCTAACTAATTGAATGAATCATGGTTTCTTTCAATAGTTGACTGGTCAGCTTGAATAAATTGGTTTAGAATTTAGGATTGTGCAGACATTGACGAACTTACATTCAAATTACTGTTGAATTACTGCTCTTATTAAGTTTGATATTTAAAGATTCCTGAGGCTTGCTTCTATTATGATCCAGAATTAGTGTTATTGTTATTTTTTCTAGTCTTCTTTTTGTCATCTTTCAACAGTATCTTTAGCTTTATGCTTTCGAAATCCTCATTAACAACTGATAAATTATTTTGAATAAAATCCTGAATAAGTCTTAGATGATCTGTTCTCTATTTATTATCAGACTGATTAGAAAAGAAACCCACCAAATCTTTGAGTGATTAAATCTTTTCTATTAAGTAGTTAGACAACTTATATATCAGTAAGAAGTTTTCTTGTTCAAATCTTAACTCCTTTAGATATTTTTTAGTTTGATTTCTATATTTTTACTTGAGCTTATTGTAGTTACTAACATCACCAAAAAGCAAAATCATTAGCTATCTTTCGTTCTCACTTATGATAAAGTTGTCATTTTCCTTTCTGTTATTTCCACTGAACTGATTATATTTTTTAGAAATCAGGAAATTAGAAAGCATTTATATCAATCTCTCCAACTATGAAACATTTGATGTACCAAGACTTAATCCCCTCAATTTTTCGCAATCTGTATTAAGTTTATCGATCTACTAAAGTAACTTTGTCTTATCTAATAAAAGCTAGGTTATCTCTTATCTTTAACATTCTATTGTATTTATATTTTATTCTTAAGATCCAAATAAATTTTACATCTCTACATTTTTATTGTGCATTTACTTAGCCTATTGGTCATTTTAATCAATAATTTATTCTAAGTCAAGGATTTTATCCTCAAGTTTTTTTATTTTCAAATTCTTAGATTCTAATTCTCTTAACATACTTTAAGCTTAGTTTAACTAAAATTATTGTTAGGGATGAGACCTTGGAGATTTTGAGATCATCAGATTATTTTATGATTAGGAATTAGCTGAAGGATTGAATCTCTAAGTCTAGTGGCTTAAGTATTGATACATCTTTATTGAACCTTTTTTAAGCTTATCCTTTACACCGCCAGAACCAGATTGGCAAGAAGGGATTCTTTCTTGCCTCTTTGATCTTCTGATAGTCTCAGATTATTTGATAGTATGATCAGTATCTGGTAAGATGTTTCTTTAGGATGAACTTTAACATAGAGTATCTTGAATTGATGTCTAATCTTAGTTTAATTTAAATATCAATTCTCTGCATGACTAAATCTTATTTATAACTTCCTCTAGTTTTAAATCTACATTTTCGCATTAAGGATACTTAGCCAAAATCTTATAGAGTTGTGGATTAGAATACTTCAGACTATCAATATCCTTGAACATATCCATAAACATTATCATTGAGTAACTCTGTTCTCTTACGATTCTTTCAATACTATCGAACTGATTTCTAATTTCAGCTAGACTCTCAATATTAACTTCTTACTACTATAGCAAAGTCTTTGGCTTGAAATTTGTCAGGTAAAATTATAACACTTAGAGTACTTCTTTTCTTGTAAATTATTGCTAATTTATTAAGTCAAATTTTAATGAGCCATTCAGATGATTTTCTCTGCTAAAGTTCAGGATCTCCATGCTCTAGGAATTTTCCTGCAAACTTTCACAATTTTTAGTGATATAGTTAGATTGCACTTGAGTTCTGGGAGATTTCTTTGCATTTATAAAGCTATTGCTTTGGATAAATGAACTGTGCGATTAGTGGTTTCCATTGATATTTTGAGTGTTATAATTAGACAACTTTGACTAGTTTATTTTTGTTTTGGAATGAGACTTGGCTAGTTTTGTTTTATTCTCTTTATTAACACCCTGTATATAATGATGAGATTTTCTTCTAGAGGAAACTTATTGCCCTAATTCGAGAGTCTAGTTATGATCTGGTAACTTTTACTTTTAAATGTATTACTATTGATGCATGTTTATTACTTGCGGTTTGTTGATATTTTTCTCCATTATCTAACCTAGAGCAAATGATTATCTAGTTGATGCTTTGTTATCATGCTCAATGGTCTGATTCAATCTCTGACTAACCATTGCCACTGTGCTATTTTCCTTATTTCTGCTTGAATAATTAAAGCTGACTAAATCATTAGGCAATTTCTGTTCAACCGGCATTGTACTATCCAGGATTTAAGGATCATATAAATTGTATTCTTGCTTTATAAATGTCCCTTTCGCAATCATAGATTGTTATTTATGATCCATTCTGTTTTATCTATCTTGATTTGTATATTGCTAAGTTCTCTCAGAAAAGACAGCATTAGACTCAGGCATTGACTTATAACCCGATACTGTATTATTTCTAGTTTCATTGAACTAATCTCGATAAGTCATTGAACTATTTCCAAGCATGGCGTTAATGATTTGATTTTCAAGCAAACTCTTATCGCACATTTTCCTTTTATATAATTAGCTGTTTGTATTTAATTTCTAACTGATCAATATCAATGATTATAATCATATTTAAGCTTTAAGGGGTTTTGGGGTTTTGGGG